TTATCTAATTTTATTATACCCTACTTTAGGCTTTATATTCATTTCTGCGCCATTATTCTTTTACCATCGTTTAAGTACAAAATAAGTACATCATATTCAAATTTCATGTCAATCGGATGATTTCTTGTAGAGTTATGACAAAAAACGCACTTGTTGGTTAAGTTTTGCACACCAGTGTACTAAATGTCTCTTTTCAATCATAGCTTAATGAGAAAGGGTGACTCATTGAACACCTGTTTTCTTATCATCTGACCCTTAAGCAGGGGGAGTCACTACTATCAGCTTCTCACAGTTACAGTCTTCATGTCTGTTAATTGCTTAGTCCAGGAGAGTTAAAACAAATACTTATTTTGTCTTCTTTGATTCTTAGAAATCTCTTAAAGTACTCCCTACAGGGACTGCAGAACTCCTATTTTTCTTAATATTTCTATACCCCTTCTTTTTTTCCTGTTCTTTCCTGCTTTTTCTTATTTTTTAAGAAAATATCCGTCATTTTGCTATTCCCCCTTTGAACATAGTGACAGCCAAGGAAAAAAATAATGACTCAAGGTCAAGTATTGCAACTACGCCTGTTTATCAAATCAGTCATTTTGAATGGGTGTGAGGAGGGAACTGAACTTGGTAGAACATAAATTTTATTTTTTATGTCAGCTTCTGTGTCTGCTTGCCAATTTATGTTTAACTGGAGCAGAGGAGAAATAAAATCGCTCAGCTTAATAAGGAATAAGATTGTGATACATAGTTTTCCCTTCTGATTTCGATTAATGTTTTAACAAAATGTTCAGACACAAGTTAGACTCTTATTTAATAATCATGTGCCAGAAACATGACAATATTGTCGCAGAGTGTTAGGGAGTTTTTGCAGAAAGAAGTTTCCTTTGGGAAGTAAAAAAAATTTAAATTTCTCTTCTGCAGAAATTTATGAAATATTTTTTCCTTAGAATTATATTGAAAAGATGCCTTATTTGCGATTGGAAAGAAATGCTTGCGATTTTCCTTTTCTCATTCAAGAATAATGAATAATATCGAATAATGAAGTAAAAAATTTATTTTTCTTTTCTCCAGGAATTTTCAAAAGATTGTTTTGTTTTTTTTTAAATCCAGAATTATACTCAAATTATGTCTTTCTCGCGCATAGGAGGGGGAAAAAATGCTCACAAGTTCTTTCTTCTCATTTGAGAATATTGAAAAATAAAGAATAGTGAAGTAAAAAAATTTATTTTACTATTCTCCAGGAATTTTCGAAAGATTTTTTTTCCATCCAGAATTATATTCAAACGATGTTTTTCATAGAAAGGAAAAGAAATGCTTGCAATTTTTCCATTTTCATTTGTAAATAATGAAGTAAAAAATGGAGTGGATGGTTTTGCATCCTGACGCTGACAACTACGAAGTAGAAGAAAGCAACGAGGAGGATGAACACCCTTTATTTCGAGCGATTGATGTATCAAGTTGAAGAAAGAACTGATTAAGGGGATGAAGCAAAAACCATTCAGCAGTTGTTCATGCAACAAAAATCAAATTTTATCAACAAAATAGATGAGTTTTTCTTTTTTTTTTAAAGTGCTGATACTTTTTTTTTTCATTTTACCTTTTTTGTTTATTTTATATTAAGCCTGTATGTATTTTTTATTTCATAAATTTTTCTCCTTTTAATCTTATTAAACTTATGTATAATGCTTTACCGTTCTTTTTTCTTTTTAAGACTATTTCTAAATAAATTTTTTTTAGTCGAGTTTCATAAATAATAAAAAAATGGCAGTTGTAGCGATTCAGAAAACCAGAAAAATCAGTTATCTGGAATAGCGATGGTCCCGATAGTTCCGGATAATCTGTTCTCCACTGCATTATTTTTTGATTTTTTTATAAACTTCTTTTCTTATTCTTAGTAAGTGTTTTTAACGTTTTTCTGAATATTATTACTCGTAAAGTGTTTTTCTTTTCCTATATAGCAGCACTGAATTTTAAATTGCTATATTTTTACTAATTTTATTAATCTTACCCAATACAAAATTCATGCTAGTACCAGCGACTGTAGTCACTTCAAATGTATTTATAATTTAGTATAAAACCAAAATCAGTTTTTATAAAACAAAAAAACAAGTAATACATAGTTATATAAAATATTAAATAAATATCATAGATTGAGTATTTCCTTCAGTTATAAATCAGCTAGACAAAGAATCAAAATGTGATGTTTTAGAGATTATGTCGTAAAAATATTCACAGTGCTCAATAATTTAGACCTATGTATTAATCAAAAAATTGAGTACTGATTTAATGATCATGTCTCTAATGAACTTAGTTAACATTAAAAATAGTGTTCAATATGACAATGAGTATTTCATGCATAGTAAACTAACATGTTGAAACGCCTCATCAAACTATAAATAGTAAGCATTGAAGTTTGTTTAGAAGGGAGTTTAAAATATGCTTATAAAATAATGTTCAGTTAGTTGGAGAAAAAGATTTTTCTGCAACAATGACCAAGATAAAAAATACGTGTATGTTAACAAGTTAGGCATGTCAAAATAATTTTTAAAATTATGATCGACTACGTTTAGCTCTCTTAAAACCTTAACATTTCAGAGCATTTAAAATTTAGTGAATACTATCTTAAAATAAAATTTCATGTTTAAAACATAAAATATTGTAAAATAAAGTGTTAAACAACTATATTTACATATTTTGAATATTGACTGATATGCAAGTTTTTGATACATCGTTATTTGTATTGCTTAGAAAATTACTGCAGATGAAAAATAAAGAACAATATGGTCTATTTTAAGTTTTGTTTATGCAGAATGAAGAAAAGTTAGCAAGTAGATACAAATATTTTTAGGAAGTTAAAAAGAGGAACAGAGATATTTCTGTATCTTAGTTTATTGCGCCAACTACGGTCACCTAGGCACTAAATGGATTATAAACTTGCAATTAAAAAAGCATTCAGAGGTTTGTCCGCGGGGAGCTAAGAGTTATAGCTTTCAAGTTGGTTCCTTTCTCTGACTTTTTTTTTTTTTAGTTTCTGCGAGCGGCTGCTCAGAAATTGTCAAAACTTGATTATTTTGCTGCAAATCACAATATAAAAATCTTCAAGAATATTTTGAGAACCAATCAGATCTCAACAATATTTAAATAGTGAGTCACAATTTGTTGATTTTATTGCGATTTTCATAGAATATATATTAAAATTACAAGAATAAATTATATTCTGTTAAATTATTGTGTGATAAGTTGCTTTAATCTAATTTTCATCAATTAACAGTGTTATAAATTAAAAACATTGTTTTAGATAAGAAATCATTAATTATCTAACAAAATCTGTTTACTTGCTGTACCCACAACTCTCTATGGCGTATGAAACCATGAATTTCCTGCCGTGATCCAAGGCTATTTCTCTAGCCTGCCATTAATTAAACATTTGTACATGTTGATTTGGTAATGTTTAAAATAAGTCTTTTTTATTTATAAGATTTGCACTAGTTAATTCCATAAAATTTCAAAACTAATTTTGACATATAAGAAGTTTCATTTGTGTAATTATTTTTTGCTACAAAAAATTTCATGATTAATATTAGAAATAATACTTAAATATTTTATGTCCATTTTGTAACTTTTTATTTCAAATAAAGTAAAAAATATCAGGTCAGACTGAATGCGAAAAAAACCTCCCCCATGTTTAAAAAAATTCACCATAATACACACCTTAAAATTGCGCTAATTTAAATTTTGTAAAAAGCTAACTGCATCTGTGTTATTGAATATCTGAGTAATGATAGCTAGTTTGGAAAGTTGGCAGCACTGCCACAAGATAACATATGAAAACATACTTCAAATCTGTATAGGAAATATGTCAACAAGTGCTCCAAAAATGATTTGTTTCTCTCAGAGCTCAGATAGCATACTTATTGAGTTATTTTGAGATATAAAATTTATATAAAATATTAAGAGCCAAAGTAATCTGTGAGAAGTGATTCGATGCAATTGAAATCATTTTTAGCAAATTGACCAATATAATTTTATTCTTTGCAAGAATAAAAATTATATTCCTGTATATATTGCAAAAAAATGTAAGGATAAGGGAGTATAGTGACACTGATTAAAGGTAGTGTTAAGCAATTTCAGATTATTAGCATGTATCCAATCCAAGTTTAAAATTTTTCATTTTTATTTGTTAAGATTTTAATTTTGAAAAAAAATTTAAAACTCTTTTAAATTGAAGTTAAAATAATGAATATTTGCTTAAAAAAGAAACTCAAAAATTATATTTTTCTTTAAAAAAAATTTCACTTGAGTATTTCTTTCTTTAAAATCATGTCAAAGACATTAACCATTGTTGAAATTTTGTAAGAGAAATACTTATAAACTTGATTTTAAAGAAGTTCATGCAATATAATTAGTTGCATTATTATTAAAGATAGATTATAATTATTTTATCTTTAGTTACTAGTTTCGTACAAAATCACAAAAAAATGAAATCAGATTTGAACTCAAATGAAACTCTTGATAAAATATTGATGAACAGTGAATCATGTTATTTATTTTTAAATAACTTAAATAATATTTGTTTCTTTAAATACAATATTGTAAAAAAAATACTATAATAAAGAAATCTTTCCATACATACCCTGATAACACCTTTCCTATCAAGATAATTCATAATGAATGGTGGAATCACTAAGTAAAAATAAATAAATGGCTTTGTTTACATACAATTGAAAATGAAATTAATCAATACAAAATGACATTATTAGAAATATTAAATAAAGAAAATATCAAACAATTTATAAGTAAATGTTTTACTTTGTGGGGAATGGAATGATATAATTTTATTTAAAACAGGGATGCCACTCAAATTTGGAAAAAAAAATACATGTTTTCCCTGTACATGTTATACACAATGTACAGTCAGACCTCGATATAAGGTCATCTGCATATAAGGTCACTTTTCCAAAGTCCTGGCTCACTGGATAGGAATTCTTTGTTACAGATTATCGGATATATGGTCAAATTTCAAAAATCGTTATCGTGTATAACATGGGTCGCCAAACTTTTTTGATCATCGATCCCTACATAATTTTTCGAAATCTCCATCGACGCCCATAAAATTAATTTTCTGCTAATTACAATAAAACTCTATTAGATACTGTGTTTGTACATTTATTATCTGATTTTACACATTTATTAAAGTAATAGTACATTGTGTAACAATAGTTTTATGAAAAATATATTAATGTTGAAATTTAAATACCTTAATATTTATTAAATAATAAGTAATTATAAATAAGTAGAAATAATAAGTGAAGTAACTACAGATGTATTGCTTCTTAATCAATGAGATGGGTGTGCCTGGTGTTTTTTTTTTTGTTGCTAGTTTCGCTATATTGGGTTCAAAAATTGGTCAGTTTTAATCTTAAATCCACTCGAAACTCCACATTTAATTTATTTCTGTGCTTAGTTAAGATTGAATTTACGCGACTGAAACAGGCTTCAACCATATGGGAACTTAGAAATACTAGCATAAATGGCTGAGCTATTTCGTAAAGTTTTACATATTTTTGCATTATATTTATATTTGTCCAAAATTTGCTCATTGTTAAATTTTTAAAAAGCGTATTTACGAAAATCGCAAAATTTGTAAAGATATTATTTTAATTTGATGTGTGTAGTTTAATTTAATTTCAAGTTAGTAGTAAACAGCAAGAATGTTGTTATATTGCTGTTTACTACTAACTGGAAATTAAACTTATTTCATACAAAATTGTTATTCTTAAGAACAGTTAAAGACACACATCAGATTAAAACAATATTTTCAAAAATTTTGTAATTTTCGTAAAAAAATACTAAGTGTGCTATAGTTTTGTTGCTGGCTGTACCCCTGGCTGTATTCAGATCGACCCCTGCTTTTGTTAAATAGACCCCTGGAGGTCTATATAGACCACTTTGGCATCCTCTGGTTTATAAGGGCATTTTTATCTGAGGGGAGGGGAGCTCTTTTCTACAAAAGCCTATTTAACTTCCTTACAAGGCAATTATCCATCTCGAGTTCTAGGAAAATATTGCAGCCACACCTGGACCTGGAAAGAGTTTCCACTCCCCAGTTCGCAGATAATTTTCTCCCGCCTTCGCTGCCAGTAATTGCTCATCTCTGTCCACACTTCCAGGGAGGGGGGGGGCTTTCGCTGTTCGGATGAGAACAAAGGACAAGTTTTCCTATTGGGTGTCACGTGAGCATTTGCTGACCAGACCAGAGGAAAGAATTTCATTTGCACCTCTCTCATCGTGTCATCATGTTGGCAAAGGGAAAGATGTTGACTCTATCAGAGAAAGAAAAAATCGCTGAAGATTTTGAAAATTCAAATTTATAGAAAGCACATTTTGCCGAAGAATGTGACTTACAACGCACCACCTTAAACAATATTCTGTCTTCTCATCACAATGGAAATAGGAAAAGAAAAAAGATGCATTTTTCCCCTTATGAGAAAATTGAAGAAGCCATTCTCCAATGGATATAAATGGCTAAAGCACAAAATGTGCCGATATTGTGTTCAGTATTGAAAGAATAAGCTGCAAATAGCAGCAGAATTGGGAGAACCTAATTTTATGGTGAGCAATGAATGGATTCAGAGATTTAAAGTAAGACATGATTTAACTTTCAAGACAGTATGCAGTGAAGCTGGAGGTGTTGACGAAACTGTTTTGAATGACTAAAAGAAATCTGTGTTAGAAGATGACATTTTGAAACGGTATAAGCCATGCGATGTATTCAACATCGACAAATGTGGTCTTTTTTTTCCGGGTCTTACCTCAAAAAACTCTAGCATTAAAATATTAAAAATGTGTAGGTAGGAAAAAAGTAAAGAAAGACTTACAGTATTTTTAGGGGTCAATATGGATGGCGCTGAAAAATTGAGACCTCTTGTAATTGGTAAATTCCGAAAGCCACGTTGCTTTAAAAACGTGAAAACTTTAACTGTGGATCACGATGCTAAAAAAAAGGGTGGATGACCGTCACCATTTAGGAGAAATCAATACAACGTTTAGACAGGCAGTTTGTGAAGAAGAAGCGAAAAGTTGTTTTCATAGCAGACAATTGCACAGCTCATACCAACAACTCTCAGTTAGCCTCAATTGAGCTTGATTTCTTGCCTCCCAATGTGACTAGCGTTCTCCAACCATTGGATCAAGGAGTTATTCAAAACCTAAAAGTGAACTATTGTCAGCTCCTCCTGAAGGACTTAATCGCTGCCATCAATCAAAAAAAGGAATTTCACTTTACTGTCTTGGATGCTATTTTCTATGTGTACAAAAGTTGGAACACGGTGTCCACCAAATGCATAGCAAATAGTTTTCGTCATGCTGGTTTTGTGAGTTCTTTGAATATCGTGGATGACGGCACCGACGGAGAAGACGATATTCCTCTATTTGTTCTGTGGAAGATCTGAAAAATCGTGGTCATGCAATTGAAGGGGAGGCTGAATATGGTATGATTGATGAGGAAATTACCACCACTTCTGAAGCTACAATTTCTGAAATTGTTTCACAAGTTGTGGACAGTGAGGACAATGACAGTGATCCTGAGACTGTAGCTGTAACCTATGCGGAAGCCTTCAATGCAATAAATGTCATATGAAATTTTTTTGTAAACCATGAGGGAGCTAAGAAATATTTTGAGAAGTTACAAAATCTAGAAAACAAAAAAAATCGAAAAATAAAGCCAAAAGAGCGACAGACCTGCATATATGATTATTTTAAATGAGGTAAGATGTAATGTATATATGTACACTTTGAAGAAATTTGTAAACAGCTTTATTTTAAACTCAACTTTTTTTAAAAATTTAACTTTCTTTAATTCTTTACGAATTCTGTTAAAATTTATTGACTTAAATATTTAATTTATGGTTGATCATTTTCGTTTGTATTACCATTTTTAAAAAATCATAATGTGTACTATTTACATGTTTAGTTACGAACTGCTAATGAATCGGTTAAAAGGTCAACCCGCTTATAAGGTCACTTTTGCGATGTCCGTTAGGGTGACCTTATATCAAGGTCTGACTGTATTAAGAGAAAACACAATCACTGTGCTCTTGCATAAGCTATATTGGGCTAACTATACTAGTTTTAATTGCTGGAAAAACACACACAGCTGAACAAACTTAAATAATACTATAGTAAATGAAATAGTTTAGTATGGTTGAAATATCTTTCTTAAATATCCCATAGACACTTCGAGTAGACACCATTTTTCAAAAGACAAAAATAAAAACAAATTTCCTGTGTTTTCACAGTTTGTAAAGAAAAACAAATTTCCTAAGTTTTCACAGTTTGTAAAGAAAAACTCTTAATTCCCTGTTAAATTTGGTGATTTTTAAATTCTATATACTTTCCAGGTTTTCTCTGTTCTCCCTGTAGAGTGGCAACCCTGTTAAAGCTTTTACTAGCCATACAAAAGAAAAATGTATGCACATGGAAATAATGAACAAATAACCTAAAAGGAATTTGAGGTTTTCTTCATAAATTATCACGGGGAATAGAGAGAGACAAATAAACATGCATAAAGAATTGCATTAATTAACGATGCACAAAAATATCAATGAAAAAAAAATGAAAAAACAAGATGGTTTAATTTTGAACAAACTCACAAAATTAACAGTGACCATTAGAATGGATCGGAAAAACAAAAGTTTTAAATACCAGAACGCTTCAGTGCAGAAAAGTTGCTTATTGTAATAATACAGTAGAGAACCGATAATCCGGAACGATCGTGACTATCGCTATTCCGGATAACTGATTTTTCCGGTTTTCTGAATCGCTACAAAAAGCCGTTTTTTTATTGTTAAACCCAACTGAAAAAAAAATTTTTTTGGAAATAATCTTAAAAATAAGAAAAAACGATAAGGTAATACACTAATGATTATTTCTGAAATGATAGTAAGGTAAACATCTTTCAAAAAAGAAAGAAAAATCCTAAAACCTTATGAGGAAAAAAAATTTTTTTTTTAAAAGTTGCGGGAAAATTTATCGAATTTCGCTCCGGTTTTTTGGTTTTCCGGTTTTCTGATTTCCGGATAATGGGTTCTGTACTGTAATAGAAACAGCATACATTTAAAAAAAAAATTATTAAATATCATTCATTTGTATATCCTACTTTAAATTGAAAAAATTACACCTTTTTTGAAAAATGTTACGTTTGCTAAAAAGCTTCAAATAAACATGCTTTAGTTTTTTATGCTTGTTTGTTTGATGGCTTGAACATCCTAAATAAATTCAATTTTAACCAATAAATTATTTTTTTAACACTTACACAACATTTTGGAAAAACATGAGAACAGCCCAGAAATTCACTAAGTGAAATGTCACTATCACTATCAAGCATAAAGGCGGGGCACGCTGATTGGGTTATCTTTATTTTTTCTTCTATGGCTGAAAGAATCTGCTTAAGAAAGAATGTTACCCCCTTTTTCCCCCGCCTCCTAAATATTACATGGTATGGGGAAGAACGAATGTTTTGTTTCTCACGGATGTGTATCCTTTTAGACCTATTCAAATTTTCCATTGACTCCCCCTCCACCTTAACGCTTGACCCGCTTACCCTTTTCCACAGTATTTCTTCTTTTAATAAAAAGGTTCCAGGTAATGCCTCTTTTACTAGCCACCTGCATGGGAAAGGAGGGAGGGGACTCAGTTGCGGTCTTTTGAAAACAAATCTCCCTCTTTTTCCTACATTCCAAGGGAGGAGCGTCACTAACGGTCACTCAATGGTCTTGGTAGATCTTCACTTCCCCTTTCTGGTGATTTATGGGTTCGATGCATAAATCAGAGGTTCAGTGCAAGCTAGAAAAAGAGAAAATGTGTCAAAAGACCTTTTTTTTCTTCTTTTTTTTAGGAAGGGGGAAGATGGAGAGATGTTTGTTTATTTTGATTGTAAAAAGTGTCCGGGAAATCGACCCTTCCGGGAAAAGGACATCCGGATATGGGACGTTACACCGTATTAGTTTTTTTAGTTGGGTTTCATAAACAATAAAAAAATGGCATTTTGTAGCAATTCAAAAAACAAGAAAAATCAGTTTTCTGGAATAGCGATGGTCCCAATCATTCCGGATAATCGGTTCTCCACTGTAGTATTAATGCTTATTAAAGTTTTTCATTTCTTTAAAAAAAAAATTATAAATGTTTAGTAAAGATTTTACAGATCCCTATAAAAGAAAATTTATGGGTGCATTTGAAAGAAAAAAAATTCGAAAATTGTTCTAAGGAATCATTGCTTCTTTTGTCATAATTTCAATTTTAATCTGCAATTTGTTTATTTGTACTTAATTTATTTCAAAATTTGAATAACTTGAAATTAATTTAAAAACTGTATCTGTTGACAATTAATATGTAAATCCCATCACCTATATTAAGTAATTCTCAATTATTTAAGTAATTTTCCTATGAGGAATATTTCAAGTTCATTTCAATAGAATATTGAATTAATTTCAACACCTTATGCTAAGGATGTTTGTTTACGTTTCGACCCACATGGATAGGGAATGGCGTAATTCTTCACGTTGCTGTGAAGCTGGAAGGCGGTGAATCAACTCTCAGCATGTCAGTGATCGACACTTGTCTAGAACATACGGGAGGTTCGCTACTCAGAATATAAGATGTTTTCCAAACAATCTTCTCTTTGTTTTTTCCCTTTTTAGACTGGTCATACTCTTTACGGTAGATTAACTAACAGGATGTCGGAGGACAAATAAGTAGTTAATAGTATCAGCCAGTATATCACGAATAAATTTTTAATTAATTGTTGAAATGAATAAATTTTGTTTTCTATTTTAAACTTAGTCTTCAATCTTAGTTATGTTTCCTCCCACACTGCTTTTTTCCGCTAATGGGAAATAGTATAATAACTATAAGAACTCAAAAATTAAATTTTCAAATTTGCTTCGTATATATACCTTTTAGCACCCCTAATAGTTGTGCACACTGCCCTCCAGGGCATCCCAGTACAGAATTGTTAAAAAAATTTTGATTATGTCCACGTGAAATTATTTTTAAAACATAAAAATTATTGACAATTTTTCAAATATTAAATGCTTTCTGGGTTTCACCCCCTGAAATAATGTCTACTGGGTTTGTTTCAGGGCTTTAGCTAAAAAATTTCAGATACTGAAAAAATAAAGTTACGTTAGTATTTCTCCATTTAATTTCTGTACAAAAAGAAGTGGGAGAAAATTTATGGAAGTAAGTAATTTGGTTATATAAATTATTTTTCTTTGTCATCACAATTATTACAAAAAATGGCAATTATTACAAAAAATTTCTAACAATAATTTTACATGAATCATGAATAAATCTTTTAATACAGTTTAATTTTATAGAAAGAAATAATGACACATAGCTAATTTTCAGATAGTAAGAAAAAAAAAATTTCAAAAATTTCCACTAAGTTCAAATGAAAATATAACTTTACAACTATAGAGTGTCATTTTTATTACACAATTCCATAATGTGAATAATGTATGATAATTGTGAAATTGGGCGATTCCATTATACTGATCATAAAAAATGAGCAGAAATTTCTAGGAGAAATTCACATAAAATATAAGTTAAACTTAAAACAATCAAATTTTATATCAAATATTTGGTACACCATGATCTATCAAAAACAGTTTGTTTTATAAAAAACTGAAAATAATAAGTTCAAATTAAATGGACTAATTTGCAGGTGTCGGATTTATATCATACGAAAGAAAAAAATTATTACTTGTTAATAAATTGTCCAAACTCTGAATTTGTTTGGAATTCAAATGCAAACTTGACTGAATTTAATAGATGTCATTTAAATACGGAATTTAAGCAGTTCTTAAAGCATAAAATATGATGTAAATTAATTTAAAGCTTTTTACTTTGGTGTTGGAGTAAATTCTTGGAGTTGGATATAAATTTAAGTTGGTGATAAAAATTATAAATCCAGACAATAACTTTAGTGTTTATTTTGATACTATAAACATTATTTTTTCTATTAAATAAGTTTCTATTAGATAAGCTTTTTTCTCAAACTTAAATTGCTCTGAATTTCCTGTTAGAATAGATGGATCAATGTATTTTATAAAATTTTTCTATCTTGTAAAAGTTAGTTAAAAAACCACTAGTTTTAATTTTCAATATTGCATTGTATATTAACAGCAATGTAAATAAAACTCATATTTAAGCAATATTTCCTTAAATCTACTAATTTTAAAAAACCTTAACTAAAAAAAAATTAATAACTGTCGGTAAAAAATTTTCTATTAAATAATGGAATTTAATATGGGGAAAAAATATAAAAACTTTCATAATTCTTAAATACAATAAAAAAAATCTATTGAAAAATAACTTACTAAACATAAAAACAAAATTTTCAATATTATCTGTCCACAATAATTTTTTCTACAAAAGAAAAAAAATCCTTTTGCCCTTGAATAAAAGATTATTTTATTGATTCATTTATCGCCTGCATAAAATTAAATAATCGCTTCATACAGTTTTTACAATTTATGATATTTGATGTATCAAAGCAGACAATATTAAAGGAGGTATGTCAAGGAGCACAAAAACTGAGTTTGTCTTTGGTGCTGTAAGACTTAAACTAAGCCTTTGCTTGTATTAGCAAGGTCTTAGCCTGATATTTGCATGTGTATAGCTGGCAATCCCTAAGCAAGTATTCATGCTAACCAAAGTAAAAGCATGTGCTTAAACTCAAGAACTGTTTCTGAATACAGGCCAGAGATGTTTTTCTCAAAAACAATAAATAAATACAGAATATTCTGAAAAAATGTTTGGCTCCAAATAGAAGTGTGTTTCAAGCTCTACTTAACAAAATGATCGAGCTAAAATTTTAATTTCGGTTGCTTAACTCAAAAAAGAAAATAATGCAATTTGGTGTTGAACATAAAATATCAAAAGTGTATCTTCGGAATTTTTTAGGAAATAAAAGGGTGAAATGTTTTTACAAATTTGTACCAGATAACCTGTCTTGATACAGTTTACTTACATTATTATTTATTCCATTTTTCTATTATAAGTGTAAACTGTTTTTTAAAAAAACTGTACTTGTTAGAAATTCATTTACTGTGGGCAAAAATTTCAAATCATGTAGCTCTTCATTCAATAGTCTACAGCCAATTGAAAACTGATATTATAAAGTTTAAAGTTATTATTTCCATATCTTCAGTTTTTTACCTAGAAAATTATTTCTTGTTTGCTTAAAAACATTAATTTCAAAATTTTGGTTATTTAGTTGACCTTACCTTGGAATAATAGCCAATTACAAATGATTAGAGTAAAATAAGAGATCACTAGAATAATGACTTTTATGAAGTATATTTTACTAACAAGTTCAATTTAGATTTTGATAAAAATTCTCATTGGTAAAAAAATTAAGAGCAGATTTAAGATTAAAAATAAACACTTGAAAATGATTAATGATATAAAATGTATCAGAAAACCTTTTTTTATTAAGAAATGAAAAAAATACCATAAAAAGTTAAGCTACTCAAGTAATATTTCTTAGTTAAATTTGAAAATTTAATTCATAAAAATCAGCTGGACACAAAATATATTTTGGAGTAAGAGAGGGGAAATGGATAGTAGCAGACTTTGGTAATATAATTTTTACTTCTGTATTCCTAACAAAGTAAAAATGCATGGAATGACATTATAAAACTATTGTTCTGTTTTTATTTACTGCTTCACAACAATACAGAAAATTAAGTAAAATTATATCAAGAACTTATAGTACAGCTATCGAAATCTTCCTCCAATTTATTCCAAAAATAAAAAGCAACGCAAGATAATAACAGAAAATATAAAATTTAATATTTTATAGCAACAAAATCAAAGTAAAATAATATAATATTAGCTTGTTTAGAATGCTATATAACGCACAGAAAACAGCGACCTTTCAAATTTTCAAAAGTTAGTAACATTAGATTTTTCTGGTTTTCTGATGTTATCCTACATTATGTGCTATCCTACATTGAGTTATATAGAAAAAAAGCGGAAAACATACACATGCCAGGCATAGCCATTCCAATCCTAGACATAGTAACTTGAGTAATGGCTGATTTAGCAGCTACCTGAGAATTTCCAACTCTATTTCCATTTTTATCTACAACTGGAATTCCTTCACGAATTTCTCTAAAAAATAAAGTTTCAAAACATATAATTACAATTAAAAATACTTCCTACACATAGTACACATTTAAAGGCAAAAAAATTTTCAATTAGATTTTATACAATCAAGTCCCGCCATAGTGAACCTTCAAGGGACCGAAATTCCGATTCACTATAACTGGGACTTCACTATATCCGTTCCGAAAAATTTTTAACTAATGGTTCTTAACTCCCCCCCTTTTATAACGCATTATTTAAATAAATGACCAATAAAGTGGAATAAAAATAAATGACTGAAAAACAATACATAGTGACAAAAATGTGTTAACTTTCTCTCAACATCAGATATGAAAAAACTTCCAGACTCTCGGATAATTTTTCCTGAATATATGTTATTCAGCTTTTTAATCCCATCCATTCCAACACATAAAAGTTGTCTTAACAAATCATTTGCAAATTCATTCGCTTTGACTTGAAGCATTTGTCCAGATACTGGAAGATTGCAGCTTCTTAGAATGCCGAACCAATTCAATAATGCTGTTCAATAATGAAGCAAACAAGAAAAAATGCTTATTGCTACATTCCATGCTACTGATGGTTTAAAAATCGGTATATGTATTGATTTTGAAGTAGAAGTTTCAAAATTATTTTGAATATGTATAATAAATGAAGAAAATAAATCAGTCAAAAGCAGAAAAAAGTTCATAACATCCAACTTGCTCTTTCGTTTTTGGTTAACTATATTCACGAAAAATAACATTATACGTGGGTAGCAAGGCACAGGAACGAGCATTTTGTTCACTACATCCGAGAGTTCACTATAGCGGAGTTAACTGCATTATACAAGAGTCACACATTTTATAAAAAATATCATACAGTGCAATTTTCAAAAAACAAATTTCTTGAGACTATAAATAAGGATCTGAATTCGATTTCTTATTTTTATAATGGAGAAAAGTCTCTCTTCTTGATGCCACAAAATATTTTTGAAACCAAAAGTTTTTCTTTAATACTCAGAGTCCTAACAAAGAAAAAGATATTGAGTTTAACCATCAGACAGAAGTACTTGTTAGAAATATTTATTTAAATAAAATATTATTTTTAATCATAAATTTTTTGAACAAAAACTTTAATGAAATATTTTTATATTGTTTTACAAATGAAGAATTTTATTTATCAAAAATTTGATAACAATTAAAGTTGACGTGAATTTCATTTCAAACATCTTTAGAGTGGAAATTTAAATAACTGCATCCCCAGGTCTCCATAGAAGTCAAAATGTTAAATATATGAATATAGAGTAGTTTAAAATATTTTTTAAAAAAGACTTCTTGGGGTAAATTATTTAAAAATTGAACAAAGAAAGTTTGTCATGAAATGAAAATCATTAAAGCTAGTATAGCTTATTGCAGGAAGGGAAATTTTTTTTTACTCATTCACATTTTAAAATTATGGTAGTTGTAAAGATTGCTACTAAGAAGTTATGGTAAAATAACATTGAATCTCACTATTTATTTAAATATAAGTTGTTATCATGTACCATACAAATAATACAATGGCTAGAAAATTAGAGCATACTAGCAAGACCTTGAACTAGAAATAAAATTCTGAATAATGTTTAAAGATTTTGAAATACTTCCAAAAAAACTTTTTTTCATTGATTTTAAAAATCATTTTATGCAACTTCAATAAGAATAACTATATTCTTACTATAAACATTGTAACAAAATTTATCTAACTTAAAGCTGAAATAAAACAAGTAACATTTAATGCTACATCAAATTTGGAAACTGTAACTAAACTGAGAAAAACCTGCAAAAAAACAATATTCTATTCTAAAAATGCAAACGAACAGAAAGCGAAATCTTTTATCTGAATTCATAATAAATAATATACAGTCGGACTTCTATTTAACGAACTTCCATTTTGCGAATTTTTTCGTGGAACCAAGAACATTTTGGAAATTTCTTCGTTAAATAACTTCTAAATAGCGAAGTGAATTCTCTATTTAACGAATTTTTTTTTAGATCTACTTTCCCCATTTCCCAAAATATTTTAGAACATTATTAACTTGTTAACGCATTTTATGGGGGGGAATGACCTTAAACTGATTTTTGCATTTCCTTAACTTTTAGAGAAAGCAGTAAAATTCCTTTCCCTTTTTGTTTGCATTTCATACAAGAAATGCAACACCTCTAGAAAAGTAGAAAAGGGGGGAGAGGTCAAATTCCTTGAATAGGAAGTGAGCAGAGAAGATAAAGGGAATGGGTCATCAAAGTGTGTGGTCCCTGGTCCCTTATTGAAATGTCCTATTATTCCCACCCCCACTGTTCACTTCCTTTCTAGAAAAACTTTTAACATTCTCGTTGTTCACTCAGTAGAGCTCCGTTCTCGAAATCGCCTCCTGTTTTTAGATTGCTGATCAGAGTACTGCTTGTTGCTTTTCTTGCAGCTGCAAAATGTCGAAGCGAAAATGCCTAACCATTAAACAAAAAAATTAATTCTTCAAGAAGTGGGTAGAGGTGTGAAAAGAAAGATATTGCATCAAAATTTGGTGTTCCTTCAAGCAACTTATCAACGATAATAAGAAACCGTGATAAGATTGAAAACAATGATTTACCAAATCCTTGTTCAAAACGTTTGAAAACATGTGTCTATGAAGATGTGAATGAGGCAGTTTTGAAGTGGATACACGCAATGCGAGACAAAAACGCACCAATCTCTGGACCTTTAATAACCGAGAAAGCAATGCAATTTGCAAAGGCATTGGGACACGATGAATTTCGAGGAAGTAGTGGATGGCTTGACAAGTTTAAAAGAAAACAAGGAATTTAAAACCCTTAATTATAGGAAAAAGCAAAACTCCAAGATGTTTTAAGGGCACAAAATCTTTGGAGGTTGATTATGAATTCAACAAAAAATCATGGATGACGGCAGACATTTGTGAAAAATGAGTTCAAAAGTTGGACAAACTTATGATTGCAGAGCATCGAAAAATTGCTCTAATTTTCGACAAGTGCCCTGCCCATCCGAAGGAAGTCAACAAAAAACTGAAAAACATTACAGTTTTTTACTTGCTTCCAAACACTTCATCAAAGCTACAACCAATGGATCAAGGGGTGATTCAAAACTTTAAACTGCACTACCGCAAAAGAATTGTACGAAAAGTTATCACTGCGCTTGAAAATAAGCAATCAAGGCCAAAGATTAATTTGCGAGAAAGCATAACAGAAATTTCCAAAGCATGGAACTATGATGTTACAGATCGTACCATTCGTAACAGTTTTGCTAAAGCTGGGTTCTTTGTCAATGCTGAGAATTTAGAAAGTGAGGATGAGGATGATATTCCTTTAGAGGAACTTAAAAAAATGTGGGTACAGCTAAGAGAGAACCACGAAATTAATGATGATGTACTGATAAATGATTTTCTTTCTATTGATTCTGAAGCTGAAACCACCGAAACATTACTGAATCAGATATTTTGGACTGTGTGAAAAATAGAAACAATACAGCTATAAATTGTGAGGAAGACGAAGAAAATGAAGACTGAAATGATGAAGAAATTAGCAAACCTTCATATGATGAAATGTTAAAATCATTTGAAACAATTCGATGTGGATTGCAGTTTGAGGAGAATACGCCTGAAGGAATTTTTGGTGCATTACAAAAATGCGAGACCTATTATGAGAAAAAACACTTTTTCAAACAAAATTAACAGACTTTATCAATAGCAATTAAAATTAAGAATGCATGTGAAAATGTATGTTTAAAATTACATTTATAATAAATGCAGCAATAATTTTAATATATAGAAATTTAGCATTTTTATTCAAGGGAAAATATATGTAGTATGATAGTATAACACTGGATAATGTTTTGTTCTATTCTTACTTTCATTGCAGATTTCTTTTATGGGTAAGATTTATAAAATAAATAATAGATAATAATTTACAAGATAAAGGTGTATCATTCGCAATTTTAATTATTTCTAGTATCCATGAGTTTAAAGCCTATTCTACGTTGTGTAAGTATTTCAAAAGATGATTTTCTATTTAACGAATTTTCCATATAACTAACTTTTTTTCGGGATTTAGCGATTTCATTAAATAGAGGTCCGACTGTAATTTAAATCATATATATATACAGCCAGTTTGTAAACTAATTGATTACAGAAATCAACAAATTATTGTTTTCAAATTACCAAGAACCGGATTACTCTAATAGGATAACATTGAAATTTCTTCAGTTATTCCAACAACCAAATATCTGAGTCAAAACTAGATAACTCATCAAAAGTTATTAAAAGTGTGAGAGAGGCAGTCAAGTCCAAGGATCAGAAATGCTCAATACCAATCAGAGAAGATGTCAGATAACAATACCAGGTGCTACTTAATATTTACTTAAATTACTAAGAATTTTTCCTTACTATAGAGAAAAAGGAAATAGGATTTGTTAGAATACAGAAGTATGAGCGAATAGTTCCTAAGAGAAGTTCCTAAGAATAGTTCCACAGAGAGAATAGTTCCTAAGCACAAAAATAAGAAGTGTTTACTTTATTTAGTTCTCTGTATAAGCTAATTACTAGAAGAGAGTTTTTTTTCTACTTTCATTATAATTAAAGAACAGAAACAACTTTGATTTGCGTAACTTTAATCATCATATTAAATAGTTTCACATACTCAAATAAAAGTTTTAAAAACTAAATTTTAAGAAATTATGAAAATTTAATCTTATTATTTCATTTTGGACAGCATATTTATTCTCTTTATGCTGTGCAGAACTGAGAAAATACTATTCATCTTCTTATGGAAAGCAGATTCTATTAGTGGATTTAACATTTCATTGGAATCCAAACCTTCAAGTGCTAATGTGATCACATTAAATGGCCAGCACTGTATTTCAATATATCCATTACTTAAGACTTAAACAACTAAAATAAAATACAGAAAATTTTTTCGGTATCAAAAATCAGGGGAAAATTTTGCTCGATTTCTCTGTCATTTTTAACTAGAAGTATTGAGGCA